CTGTGGGTAACACATTTTTGAAATAAAATGTGGATAAACTCTATTTTGAAACAAAGTTTCTTTTGTATTAAAAGCTCTTATCCAATCATAAGCACTCAAAACAATAGCCAAAAGATGCTTCTAATTTGCAATGTTCCCCACATAGAATTGCCTTAATATTGAAGCTAAAGAAAGCTTTCATGAAAGCGAAAACAGACATTAAATAAAATATTAGAAAATTTGCTAACTTGTGAAATTATAGCAGATTTTCATGCTTCAACCAATGGGATGGATGGATTATACAATGCGCAATTAGCACCTTCTTGCATTCCTGTGCCGTTTGCTTCCCTAGTTCTTACTCGGGGCATTACTTAACTTTTTCACTGAAAATACTTTTGAGTGATACAATAATCGACATTCAATATTTCGGTTGATCAACCACATAGCATCCTTTGCAGGCTTTTCTTTTTAACTAACGGGCTCCCTGTGTTAGATCAGTGGGGAAAATGCGAAATGATCCCGCTTTTTCTTCGCCCAGCACCCCATCTTCCCTATTATTCCACAGGGAACCCGTTTGAAAAAATAGCTAAAATGGAATCAAATTTTGGGATCATGTTGCATAACTGTAGAGATCATTTTGGATAACAATGGAGATCAATGCATGACAAGGAATTAAACAGGATCAAAGTGAAAATGGATTTGGAGAAAATGGAAAACAACTCTAGATCATTATGTACATATAGAATATAGGACCAAGGGAACTTGAATTATACAATATGGGTCGGATTAAATGGTACATACATTATCACAACATTGAACCTCAGCAGGTGCTTGCAACATGACTGAAGCTGGGGGGTTTATGCTCATATCATGAGGTAGTCAGGGGGGTCTGCTTACCTGTCTAGTTAATGGACAGTATGGCTCATGCATTGCAACATGACATACTCCTTTAGGACTACCTGGTTTACCATCATAAAATGTTGACTSTCGTTTTGTTGTCCTGTCAATAAATTGATCTGGAAAGACRATGTCRCCTGGTTTGTATTGTTCCTGTAGTGATCCACATGCYGTCGTTACTACTAGATGAGTACATCCCTCTTGCTTCAGAGCATGGATATTGGCTCGGTAGTTAATGTCAGTTGGCATGATGGTATGATTGCGGCCATGTCTGTGGAAAGAACAGTTTTTTCAATGATACTGAATTTGTTCTTCAGAGATTTCATTGATAGTGTTTCTGTGAGATTCCAGACTGTGGCTTTTTGTAATATATAAAATATGAGCAGGAGACCTTTATGGTCTCTAAAACTACTCGCTTGCAGCTCGCAGTTTTATAGCCTATTGGCCATTTTTATGTTATGAAATGAATTGTAATTTCTGTCATATTGAGCCAATCGAAAAACTAACCATATCACTAAAAAGACTTTATCGACTTTAGTGTAGGTTCCAAGTTACAGATCATTTGGACAAATATTCAATTAATGAGAAGCCGTGCAATTTACAGAGAATGTATGGGGATTTTGACCGCGTCCCCCAAAACAATACATTCTCTGTTAATTTGATGAAACTAGGTATATATACTGTTCAGCTAGTTTTTATCCAAACGTTTTGAAACTTGGTATATATACTAATTTTTGGGTGCCCTTTCATCTGGTGGGGTTTGTTTCGTGATTAGATCAATATTTCTTTGATTAGTGCCCAGTCCCCTGCGCAACGTCGAAATGGCCAATAAAGGTTGGATTCAAATATTTTATATTGCTTATCAAATTCCAACAGAAGCTAAAGCATATTTTGTAAAAAAAAACTCCAGGATAAAATATCATTGAAAGAGAAAATCGAGGTTAAAGTCGAACTCAAATCAGGACAATTCTGTGCTCATATAAAGATGGGGTCATAGCAATGATTTTCCATTTTTCTTATATGAATTAATGAGGAGGAAGACATGGAGGACTATAGTGAAAGTGAAATATATCATTTAAGAAATATAAAATGGTGCACGTGTCTCTGTCCTCTGATATAAACAAGGTGGGAGTTCGAAAAGCATGAGATAAGCAAGCTTAGGAACACGAGCGTAGCGATTGTTTCTCTTGCTTCTTGAGTGTTTTTCAACTCCCAACGTGTTTATATCAGAGGACAGAGACACAAGTGGCCGTTTTATATTTCTTTTATAAAATAATATTGCCGGTAAGCTGTGTCGCTGTCCTCTGATATAAACACGGTCATCAGCAAATCAGAGTGCCCGTTATAATCAAAACTTTTATAAAGAGAGATATATCTTCTGAAGTTAACAATAGGAATAGAATACTAACAAAAGTGATGACAGATGAAAGATTTAAAAACAGTCTATGAAAACAGTCTTATGAAAATGCTGTGACACTCCTCCAAGTAGTGGGCTCCTCTTTTCTCCTTTTTTTTGGGGGGGGAGGGGGGGGGGTTCAACGTATATTATCAAAAGATAAAGAGACATCTAAACAAAATTGTATCTATTGTAGCCATGGTTGACTTTATATTTTAGATATTTTAGCCTCTGCTCCAATATTCTGAGCTTTTGTTTCAATGTTTCAATCTATTGAATTACATAATTTCTATATGTTGTGTAGTATTTGCTATCATTGTACGCAAAGAAAAACACCCCATTGTGGGCATCTTTCAAATATAATGCCATGCATGTACAAAAACAATATATAACACAATACTGTGCTAATATACCTTGCAAGAAGAACACAGTCTATACCTTGGATCTTTCCTAACACAAGACAATCTGAAGGCTGTGAAAACAAAACAAACAAAATCTAAACAACTCTTAYATCTACTTGGTAAATTGGAAATTRGGATTATCCTATTTTTGAGGCAGGGGATYAGATTTATCCATACAGGATCTTCTTAATTGTTTAAATGGTCTGTGCAGACGAAATCTGGGCCCCCTCCCCTCCCTAGATTTATCATGTTGATAAATCTAGTGTTTCTTGGTTAAGTTTGGCCTCAGCCCCCACCTTAGAAAACACTGCATTGTCACTGTTACCCTTACTAAGGAGATTGGATTTAACTAATGGAACAGCTATCTATGGATTTTTAAAACAGTATTTTTGTTTCAGTTAATTGGGCTTCCTGTATTGTTAAGAGATGGTTATGACGTAAGCAGTTGGATGCCAAAATACATAAAACAATCATTACATGTGTCTGAACGCATTACAGGAACTTGTGTGAGTTACCATTGAAACGCTATGGATTCTCAGTTCCACTGAAAGAAAAATTATTTGAGCTGTGTACATAAGTCATTTTATATCTTCTAAGCTAAACTGGATTTGACTTCCTTTCAATCTATTGTGTAGACCATTTACCCGGAAGTATTCGCCCCTCGCAAAAAGACTAAAATCCACGTGCGACAATTATACTCACATCCCCAAATGGAGTCTCAACTTTTTTCTCTTGTCTATCTTCGAATATATCAGGATTATCGATACCAGTTCCTCCGATTATACCAATCTGCAATATAACATCGATTCAATGACATGTTTGGAGACGTGTCACTAGCTCGTTTTACCTCCACAGATATTAACTTAACATATATGAAAACGTATTTGCTTTGCATTTTATATAAGCTTAAAATGGATAAAAATAGCGCTATATTTAGCAGACAACAAAGAGTTCAGTTCTTGTGGATCCTTGTGAACAATACCTTAGCAAAGCCAGGCTAATTAAGTTCAA